TGAAAATCCTAAACCAACAGAAGAAAAATTAAAATGTCATTGGTTTCACTGTGGAGATGAGCATCCTCAGCCAAGTGAATGACTGCTCTCTCAAAACATCAGTGTGCTGAGGGTTTATGAGACTATTACTTGAAAATCATGCTTAAGTCTGTTTTTACAATTGTTGCATGTAACTCCTGAGATCACTGTAGCTGAAAGATCAGAGGGAAACCTTTTTTTTTTTTTTTTTAGTTGTCTGTGATTTGATGGCCTTAACACCAAACATACAAGAAAGGTCGTACTATTTCCCTTACATTGGCAATAGATTTCTACTGTTTGTGTAGGTCTATCCCATTTGTGTGTGGAAAGACTAACTAAAAGGAAAAAAAAACTTTTTTTCCCCCCCTCATGGGCAGCTATAGTACCAGAAACTACATTTGACTGATTCTTTAAAAATCAACTAGCTTTCAGTTGGTGTCTGTTTAACATGATACAAAGTTGCTAAATGTTTTGGTTTGTTTTTGACTCCATAATGTAAATGGGAAGAAACTGTAGTTATTGAACTTTCATATTTTGATTCTGATCTAAACTCATATCCTTGCAGAGTAGCCCAAAAGAGAGAAGATGCTGTTTCCAAAGAAGTTACTCGCAAACTTTCTGAGGCAGACAATAGGAAGATGTCTCGCAAAGAGAAGGATGAGAGGTAATCTCCTTTGATTCGCATTGTAAAAATGAATAGGATCCTAATTTTAAAGGCCCATGATATGATATTAGGCACTGTCTCTTGCTTCATGACTTGAGAAGACATCTACAGCCAGTGGGAACTCTGCAGCTGATGGAGCCCATGGTGAAGCACTTTTGAGCTGAGGCAGGGTTGTTAACAGAAAGTCTGTCTTTGAAACTGTCAGGGTTCCCTCCCCACTCTGAACTCTGGGGTACAGATGTGGGGACCCACATGAAAGACCCCCTAAGTTTATATTCCACCAGCTTAGGTTAAAAACTTCCCCAAGGCACAGATTCCTTCCCTTGGACGGTATTGCTGCCACCACCAAATGATTCAGGAAAAGGACCACTTGAAGTTCCTATTTCCCCAAAATATCCCCCCAAACCCCTTCACCCCCTTTCCTGGGGAGGCTTGAGAATAATATACCAACAAATTGCCTTTAATAAAAGTACAGACCAGACCCTTTATGTTTAGGACACTAAAAACGAATTGGGTTCTTAAAAGAAGAACTTTATTATAAAGAAAAAAGTAAAAGCAGCACCTCTGTAAAATCAGGATGGAAGGTAATTTTACAGGGTAATAAAAAGATTTAAAACACAGGGGATTCCCCTCTAGGCTCAACTTCAAAGTTACAAAAACAGGAATAAACCTCCCTCTTAGCATAGGGAAAATTCACAAGGTAAAACAAAAGATAATCTAACACATTTCCTTGCTATTACTTGCAATTTCTGTAATTTTAGATGTATCATTTCAGTAAGAGCTGGGTTACCTGCTTGGTCCCTCTCTCTTTGTCCCGAGAGGGAACAAAAACAAATCCCGCCCCCCCCCGCCCCACAATTTGAAAGTATCTTCTTTCCCCCTTGGGTCCTTCTGGTCAGGTGCCAACTAGGTTAATTGACTGATTAACCCCTTACAGGTAAGTGATTCTGTACCTTTGGCCAGGAGGGATTTGACGTTACTGCATACAAGATTGTTACCCTTCCCTTTATATTTATGACAGGAACCCTTTATCAAGAGGGGATCAGAGAGGCCAAGACTGACTGTTTTTGAAACATGAAAACTCAGCTTTTCACAAAAGCCTTCCTATAACTGAGTCTGAACAATAGATCTAAAAAAAAAAAAAAGCAGCTGTATTAAGGAGTGGTGAAGGTTAGATCCTTTATAGACAAAGTGTCAAGTATCAGAGGGGTAGCCGTGTTAGTATAGACAAAGTGGATCTCAAATTTGTATTTAATGACTAAGAACTTGAGTGATGGGTATATTAGGAATACTTTCTAGTTTAATATCTATTAAAAAAACACAAACTTATGACGAATACTTCTGGGAATTGAACCATCAGTTTTTTAGAGCAAGGACCACGTTTTCCCTTGGATTGACAGCATGGGCACTGTACCTGCAAAATAATGAGTGTTCATCTCAATCTAGTAATAAAGGTTCAGTTTTTGTGACCTTTGGACCCAGATTCTTGAAAAACGTAGGTGACTTAAGTATGTATATGTATACTCAATAAATATAGGTTATTCCTGTACTAGCTTGTCAGGCCTCAAGTAGCACTGACTGCATTTTCTATTAGAAGCAGTCTGAAAACAGTCAGAGGAGCAGTATGTATGCAGCTAGGCAGGGAATGTCTTTGTATAGTTAATAAACTTGGTTATTTGGGACCCAATTGTGCCCTTGTGGTTTTTTCATATTCAGTTATGTAAAGAAGAAAAGAGACAACAGTGTTTAACAGCATTGCATGCATCTGATTTTTATTAATTTATCAGTGACAGAAATGACATATATAATCCTATTATGGTGACTTTTGATGTTCAGTAACTCATTCTGTCATGGTAAAAGGTATTTTATCGAGAGGTTTCAGTGTGTCCTTTTTTTACTGACATAAAAGGTGCCATCTCTGAAGGAGTGCTGCAATAGTGGTGTTAGTATCCAGATTTGTATTAATCTACACATATTTAAAATTTATTTGCATTTATACATAGAATTCTGTGGAAGAAAAACGAAGTTGCAGATTACGAAGCAACAACATTTTCTATCTTCTACAACAACACCCTCTTTCTCGTCTTGGTCATCATTGCTTCATTTTTTCTATTGAAGAATTTCAACCCCACTGTGTATCCTTTACTACTATTTCACTGTAAACAATCTGAGAACTGTTCACAAGTTTTTTATTGATAGCCATGTAGTTTCATAATTTAGTTTGTCCAGTAACATTTGGGCATTAGGTTATAGAACAGTCTAAATAGAGATTACCAAGGCAGCTCCAACCCGTACTTGCATGCTGATGGTTTTTGTTCTCATTTAGCATTGAACGTGCTTGGGTGTCTCATTTGAACTCTATGAAGAAGCTGCGTGGTATGGATAACTCGATACAATGGTGTGTGCTGCAGTAAGAGCTAGTTAACATTTATATGGAACTGCCCTATGGTATATTCTTGTCAGGAAATTTAAATGTTGTGGGCTGTTGTGCTACAGGATATTTTTTTCCTACTCTGCAGTAATTTCTTGAATGTGAAATCATTTCCTCCAGAGCTGAAGTCGCTTACTTTATGCAGCACTAATTTGATGCAGTATTCAAGATAGGATGCCTGTTAACAGCATTTAAAACTTCTCTTTGGGGGCTAGTCTAGGCTTTGTTTTTTAAAATTAACACACACTTATAAATAGGCTTAATTCCTAATAGCGTCTGTCTCTAAACTAGACATCAAGTATGCTGCAGTACCTATTGCAAAACTCTGTTTCCACCCTTTCTCTTCAGACCCCTACTATAAATGTTTATTGTAAGAGATGTTACTTGTGGTAGCTTTAAGTTTACATCCTTAACCTTTTCCCCACAGAAACTACATTCTGTCTATAAGCGCTTCATCTGGACTGATCGCCCTTCTGTCTACAGGCTCCAAATAGACAAAACAGTGGTCATCTGTTCATATTTGTGGGTGGATCCAATTTCATTCAAGACTTAAGTGTGGGAGGTATAAACAGTCTGAAAACTTGAGCTTTTTTACAACAATAACTGTAAAGCAAACTTTGAATTTAGCTTTGGTTACTTGCTAAGATATTGTTGAAATAAAATTGAATGAATCAAACTTAAGTGGCAGAAGGAAGGAAATATACCATATCAAAAGCTGTAATAAGCTTAACTCCTTGGAAGTACTTTGTAATCATAATAAGGATGATTTGTCAAATGTTTCCTTTGGCGTTTCCGTAAACTGAATTAGGCTACCACTCCAAAGCACAGAAAATAACCATGCTCTGAACTCGATGGCAGACTTGCAAATATGTTGTTTTTTTTGATATGTATAAAAGAGCTTAACCCATTAGTTACAAAAAGTGACAATCCATCTCTTAATACTTATAATTTGAAATATTTTAATAAAAAGTTCAAGAATACTGACTGTAGTGGGCTTCTTGATATTTACCTTCTAAATTTCTAAGGTTTTCAGATGGAAGACTATCAGTAGAGCTCTGTGATGGTGGCAGCCTCACCTTGCCCTATGGAGTTGTGCTTCAGAGTAAAAGCTTCCATGTTGTTTTTTTAAAATAAACCAAGTCCCTAGTCTAGCAAAGAACCTTGAAAGTATGAGCCAGGAATAAGCCTAAAGAAAGTTCTGTTGGAAAATATCCTGAAACAGCTGTGAATGTGAATTAACCCATTCATCCCAATGGGTTAAGTCAAACCTAAAGATGATAATCAAAATGTTAATATTTTAACTGTAGTAGATTATACCTTTCTGGCACCCCTTGGGACAAAGGAGGAAGGGTAACGCTCTTGTATCCTTGACCATGGTATTGCTGGGGGGTTGTCCTGGAGTCTTCCAGCAGTGTTGCCCAGGACATTTGCCTCCTTTCCAGTGTGCATGTGGGGGAAGAGGTAAAGTAGTCAAGATGAAGGTCAGGAGCTTACAAAAGGCAGAGTCCAGGGTTTTGGGAAAGCAAAGGAAGAAAAAGAACCACCCACTCTCCTTTCTGAAGGGTCCTGGGCAACCAAGGGTCTCAAGTGGTATCCCCTAGTCTGCAACCCTACATCCTGGGCCTGTGGAGCTTGAATTCCAACCCTGCTCCATTAGTGTGCCACCTCCAGCTGAGCTGGGATCCTCCCTTTTACATACCTCACTGGTGTGCTGGATTGGGGCTGACTGCCCAGAGGATGTCTTTAACCCCTTTTTGACTGGGATGGGGATATGCTAGATTTTCCTACCAATGTCCCTAGTCAACAACCCCAAACTGCTCTGCTATTTGCTCAAAGCTCCAATTGCTCTCCTTTTCTTTCCCCCCTCCCCCCCCGCCCCTAAATACCAAAACTTATAGCTAACACAATGGCTATGTTGCCTATACAAATCTGTGGCATCCTAAAAACTGAACATAGGGACAGGTTAAAATAAATGCAATGCTGAAATACGAGATGTTATACTATACTATATTTTCATCTACAAGGAAGATTAACTGCCTTTTTAATATTTAAATAAAGCCTCTGCAGAACTTCCAGTTTGCAGTTCGAGTGCGGCAGGTATTGGGTCTGGCTTGCCTTAGAGTATGCAGGGTTTGTCTAAGTATTTTACATGGAGAAGCTTAAAGATGACTTTCAGAGGGGGAAAAGTTTGGATGCGTATGTTTTTGTTTTTTTCTGCTGCTGCAGAAAGATGTCTTTCAAAAAATTGTTCTAGACTTTCAGGTGTTTTCACCTTGAATTGTGGTCTTTTCTGCCCTGGGCCACTGGAGAACGGTAGGCTTGACATCACAGGTAAGGACTGCCTCTTACTCCGTTTGTACAGGGCCTAGCACAATGGGATTCATTATACTTTAACAACAACAACAACAACAAACCCCCACTTCTGCATTGAGGTAGAGTTGTGGGGAGGATAGAAACCAAAAAGGAAGAACAAGGCAGAATACATTTTGGGCCCTAATCCATCCAACACACAAGTAGTACCATTGACTCTTAAAATGGGACTACAGTACTCACATGCATAGTTAAGAACATGTATTTGCAGAAGAGGGACCTAGATTTTCAGCCTTTTAGGAAGTGGCTGATATTTTTCTCTAAGTGACAGGTTACCAACAATGAAATGCTGTTACTGTCAGCTCATTGAATATTTTACTAACTTTTTCTCTTTAGTTTAGTTTTTTTGGAATGGTTATGTTTCTAAGGCCTGGAGACCATCTTTGTAAGGTCAGAGTTTCTCCTGAGAATTATAGGATGTTATAGGATAAGAAGCTTAACAAATATTTGAAACCCAAATCATTTCTGGACTCTTAATTTAAATCCCCATCATTTTCTCCAAATCCTGTCATGCTTGCATAACCACGTGTTTCCCTCGCTCTCCTTTTCCCCTTAGAGGAGATCAATGTCTATAAATCACAGAGATGGTAGGAGTGTCTAAAGTGACAAAGATTGTGTGATACTGTAACCTGCGCCGGCCCCCGACAGCTGGTTTAGAGATGCTCCCAATTCCATAAGTAGAATGAAGGTTAGCCTAAAAGTTGTTTGTTGCTTGGCATCCCATTGCTATCTGCCAAATTATTAAACCGCTTGACTCTTCGTATTAGTTTTCTCTCTGAATAAAGGACAGTGCCATCTCCCTTTTTAATGAGTATTTATTACATTAATTTCTATAACAGGCAAGAATTTTTAATTTTGGCTTACACACAGAGAGTGCAGGATTCCTGTATGACTGAGGGGAAAACATAAGGAATGTGTCCTAAAAGAGAAAAGGGATTGGTACATAAATAAAGGAATAGTTCAGTTGGTACCCTGCAAAAGAGTGCATTTCACTTTTTCACCTTTGTAAGGTATTCTAACTCCTGAAGCCCTTCCACTTCACACAAGAGTTAAATCAGTGCAGTTTCTTGGTTTCTTATTTAAATATCTTTTATCAACAAAATATGCATCAAACATTTTAAGTATGTGGCACTGATCAGTAAACAGCTGTGGGTGAAACGTACTGTATGGGATGTCCCCCCTCATCATCTAACAATAAATAATGGCTTTTTTCTTCCCCATGTGCCCTCTTTTGGGCGGCTGATCACTGAAAAAGTAGTAAGATCTTGGTGGGCCAAAGAGATCATTTATATCTCATTCATTTCAATGGAAAAATCTCAATTTAATATTTTTATGGATCTTGCAAAATTGTTTTCACTTTGCTGCTGAGCGTAATGTAGGTATTTTCTTGTCCTAAAAACAAAATCACTGATTGTAATAAATGTTCTAGTTATAAGGTTAGATGCACAAAATGCTTTTATTGTGTACAAGCAGAAGTTAGATTGCAGTTCTATTATACAGAAGCTAAGTTCATTTACACATACTATAGATCATTGGATGAAATAGAAGAAAAACATTTTAACTTTAAAAATATCAGTATCTATGTTCTGTTCATGTGTCATCTGGAAAATGTGTGCAACCCTCCTATGTTATGAAGTTAGGAAACATGGTATACAAGGGCCCTATATGTACTGTACATTACCGTACTCTTTAGGAAGTGTATATGTATGCAATACATGTGTGAAATAAACTTACTGAAGTTATAGTAAATGCATTTTACAAAGCAAAGTGAGGTTACTATATTTATGAAGCTGTTCTTAAAATGGGCAGATTAACTGATAAATGTACCAGTGTTTCCTGTGTAAGGATGAAACACTTTCACAAAACTCATTGTTTAAAAATACCTTGTCAAAAATACTACTTATGGCTGATTTCCAGGATACAGTCAGAGCAAATGTAACCTTTTCACCAAAACAAATATCTGGTTTTCTGATATTTTACAGCAACTGAATTATATAATGAACAGCTGAGCACACTCAATATGCAAAATTCTTAACTGAACTATTTAGAAGCTGAACCATGTAGTAATTAATTTTCTGACTTTTTACTGTAAGGTCCTTTTTCAGCTACAGCCTAAAGCCTATATAAAAATTGCATTTGAAAATTTTGAACTCGCTCATTCTATGATCTAGCTGAAGAATTTTTATAGTTGAAATTTCTTAGAATGCGTCTTTACTAAAACCGTAAGTTTTGTTTTTGTTCATTGAAAAAATATATCTGTACATCCTTCTTTAATTACCAAGTACCTAAAGGATATAAATAGTTTTTGTATTTTGTTTTTTGCTTGATATGTGTATTTTACTGCATAAGCATGAGGTGCTAAGAGAAAAGTAAGAGTCAATGACTTTAGTCAGAGATAAGAAAATACAAAGATATTCTCAGTTGTATGAGAGATCAACTGTGCTTTTGAATTTTACTGCAGATTGGTAGCAACAGCACACACCTTGAAAAATCCAGTAACAATAGAGACTAAGCAGCAAGCTGCTGCATGATTCTAATGACTGGATATTAATTCAGTACTGTACTATATACAGAGCACTATTTTAACCATGCAGTCCTGTGTAACCATGCATTGCATTATGATCGGTAGTCCTTCTTGCTGATGGGCTTATTCCCTAGAATATTATCTATTTCACTTACAATGTGTGATGTCATCTTTGGAAGAACCTAAGGATGAAGAAAAAATGAAGCCCACATATTAACAGGATTGCTTAATGGTTATTCTTGGTTAAACAGGTTTTCCAAAATTAAACCAATTGTATAAAATAATGTAAGAGCTCTCTGTCTCTGTATGGTAAATAGTTTACATTTATATGGTGCCTGCTTTCCTTCCTTCCCAAATTGTAATGACTGTATACTAGAAGGTCTGCTGTAATTTTCTTCTAAGGATCTCAGGGCATTTTGTAAACTATACACATGTAAAACATCATTGAACAGTGATGGGAGGGAAGTTTGTGATCAAGGATATCAGAGCAAGCCCCTCATGAAAAATGCTATGAGATATTTAATGTCAGCGCAGACCTTGGTTTTTAAATTCTCCTGTAGAAGACTACTGGAGATTGGAAAATAATATTTGTGGGCTGCAGTGAAGTAGAGTATATTTGTTTCTTTAATTAAAGTGTCAGTAGAACTGCAGAGGAACTGAAAATGTAGTAAACCTTTAAATTCAGGATACTGAACATACTAGACTCAGGGTATGTACAATGCTACCCTGAAACAACTTCAAAGAAAAGTAAGTAAACGCTTTTGATACTAGTAGGATTTATTTGTATACTACTTGCCTGAATGGCTCCAAGATTTTCTATCAGTTGCTCTGGATTGGAAGATCCTAGAAGAACAGAACTCACACCTTCATTTCGCAGGCACCATGCTGGGAATAAAATCACATGACTGTTAGGAACATAGGAATTGTCATACTGCATCTAGATCAGTCTAGTCCAGAATCATTTATCTGAGGACAGTGGTCAATAACAAATGCTTCAGAGGAGGGTGCAGGAAACCCCTTAGTAGATCACTATAGAATAACCTGTCCATAGAGCCAGTTTCTTCCTAATCCCTGTCAGATAGTGGTTGGTTTGTGTCCTGAAGCATGAAAGTTTATATCCTTATTTTTTAAAAGATCCCATCTAATATAATTGAATGTTCTCATTATCCACGTAAATGTCAAATCCTTTAAAAAATGTTAATAAGCACTTGATACATTGTTGTAATGTGTTCCTCAGGCTAACTATGCATTGTGTAAATATTTCCCTTTTTCAGTTTTGAATTTGCTGCCTTTGTTTTATTGAATGTCTCCTTGTTCTCACGTTATGGGAAAGGGTAAATAGGACTGCTCAATTTACCTTTGCTATATTATTCATTATATTGTATAGCTTTATCTTCTTCCTAAGTTATTTCCCCTTTCAACTAAACAGTCCCAAACTATTTAACATATGAAAGGCTTTCCATGCCTCTATTTGTATTAATCCAACTTCCATCTATTTCTGCTATACCCTTTTTGAGATGGATGACCAGAAAAAAAGTGTTCCCAATGAGCATGTACCACTGACTTATATACTACACTGGTAAACCGCTGAAAGGGTAATTGCCCAGCATCTTGATTTAGTCAGCATTTACTCATTCCCTGTGATTATAGGTAAGACTTTAATATCTAGTTCCTGTGCATAATACTGAAAGATAAACTATGAAATAGATCTTCCATCAGAATCATCTGACCACTTAAGCTGCTAATAAACTGATGCTGGAGCAGGTTTTTTGGTGCTAGGGGACAGGAGTGGTTACTTAAGTTATTTAAACTGCAGGATCACTTCTCTGACAGCCATCTGTGTGCAACATTTCAGTAATGACTCAAGGCAAGCATAGAGAAGACAGCACACTTAAAAATGATTAATGACCTCTCCTTTTGAAAAAAGGTATCTCTGTTCTCTGTTAGCTGTATTTATAAAGCATGAGTTAATCAGGTGGTCTGTGGCTATTTCAAAGGTACTAGATTCCTGGGACACTGCAAGAAACAAAGGCACTTGTGATTATTTCATAGTAATTGCTAGCTCACTTTATTGCGGTTTTATAAGAAAATGGATATTGTCTTTGCCAGAGGATGATGAGTCAAGAATAGAGAGTAGTAATTTAAACTGGCATTTTACTTTACTCTAAAGCATTTCTTCCTTTTCATATACTCATCATGTTCGGTCAGTGCATGCCTCCTTATAAAGTAGCACTGCATCTTACATCATCAATCGTCATCCATCCCTGGCATCCTGGTCTACAGTTTCTATTATCTAAATGATCACTTGACTTAATCTGTCTTTCTGAGTGATGACTTGATTTAAATCACTTCTTTCTGAAGCAGAAAGCTATCCCTGCTGGCTGTCACTTTGAATGTGCCATTTGAAATGCAGCAGGTCCCAGAGATACTGCTGGTTCTCTGGCTATTAAGGCTTTTAAGTTATCCCTCTCTCAGAGACGTAAATGGAATGAGTGAATACTAATGGAGTACTCATGGTTTCATGGCTTTGTGCAAGACAGTTTTTGATGATCTGCCAAAGATCAGCAAAGCACAACATTTGGTATATATGAATTACTGTACTAGTTCTAGAGTGTTTTTTTTTTTTTCAATACTATGATGTGAACCAAATCAAGTATCAAGCAAGAGGGGAGAAAGCAGCAATAAATTATACTTTCAGTATTTCTTACCAACTGCTAGCTGAGGTAGTGTGCATCCAAGACGATCTGCAATTGGGGAAAGGTCTTTCAGCTTTATTTGCTGTTTTCTTCCTTCTTCACTTACAATTTTTTCCTTTAGCCACTGGTAGCACTAGGAATCAAGTATATTGGAAGGTTAAAACTAACAGTGATTGCCAAGATGAGGTGGGTGGACCAACTTCTGTTGGTGAAAGAGACAAGCTTTTGAGCTCCACAGAGATCTTAGGGTTTGTCTACACTGAAACTTCGTTGGCAAAACTTTTGTCATTCAGGGGTGTTAAAAAAACACACACCGCTGCACGACAAAAGTTTTACCGACGAAAAGCGCTGATGCGAACAGTGCTTTGTCGGCAGGAGCGCTCTCCTGCCAACAAAGCTGCCAGCGCTCATTGGGGGTGAAAGTTTTTTGTTGGCGGGAGAGCTCTCTCCTGCCATCAAACAGCAGCTATACTGTGCGCCTTTTAACGGCACACCTGTGTCTCTAAAATGTGGGTAATGTAGACAAAGCCTAAGTCATGTCTCTACAACCACACTGCAGACAGTGATTACAAATTCAATTAAAAATTCAGAGTTGTTATGGGCAGCTTTGTTTTTGTTTTTTTGTTTTTTTAAATCTTCGCCCACTCAGGAGGTAGTAACTGAGCTTGAATGATACAAAACTGCTGCTGCATGAAAATGATGATGGGGGAAAAAATAAGTCATCTTGTAGATTCCACACTGATATTTTGTTTGGTTTATACGACAGATGGGCTAAAACTAAAACCCTGAATATGGACCCTGGAATGTGAAACCACCCCATTCACTTTTAGTTCCTGGTTGGATCCAAACCCAGAATGGTTCTATTTTCCTATTTGGGGAGGATGCAAGCAAAATCTCAGCCCTTCTCATTAGATGTTGGCTCAAGGTGTTAAGATCTTGGAAGAACAGCTGATTTTATGAACTATCACCATTCAATGTTTATAAAAATGAATCAGAACAATTTGAGATTTCAGTTCCCTCTAGTCTAACCCTGAAGCTTCACCCTCAACCTTGAACTCTAATGTAAACCTAATTTGGATCCACATCTGAACACTGCCAGTTTACAACAGATATCTTTATACTTTGATTTGTGAATTTCATGGAGGAAATAGATTCTTTACAATCAAATACAATATTTAGATAATTCTAAACTTGTTCTATATGCATATCATATGTGTAATAGAGAGCTGAATTCTATTCTTTAAGCAGATTGGTTGAAATCTATTTAATAGGCAAAGAACCTGTAATTAAAAAGGAGTATAATTTAATAGAGGCTATAAGAAATGAGTGAGAATGACCTACTGGTTGAAATCCAAGACTCGGTGACAGGAGAGCTGAATCCTATTGCTAGTTCCTCCATAAATTGTGTGGCTTTGAGCAAGTCAGGTTTTTGTGCTTCATTTTTTTACCTGTGAAACCTAAAGTCTGTTGTCTGTCTACTAAGATTCCAAGGTCTCAGGGGCAAAGATAGTGACTTCTTTTGTGTCTCGTACAGCACCAAGCATTTTGTCTGTGTGTAATTAATTAGTAATAAAACGGGTAATTTTGCAGGATTGTTGCAAGGCATTAATGAATTAATATTTGTAAGCACTTCGAGATCCTTGGAGCTCTTATAGTGTTTCCTATCCATAGATCTCTTAGTGCTTTGTAGTGGTGGACTAAGCATTATCCTCATTTTATAATGGAGAAACTAAGGCACAGGATCACACAGCAATTCAATGGCGGAGTCAGGAACACAACCCAGGTCTGCTGACTCCACTGGCCCATACACGAGTGTCTATAAAAGAGCGTATGTGTGAAATGCTTTCAGATGCTCATCTTAGTGCTGCTCTATTATTTCTCAGCCTCAAAAAGTTGAGAAGAGCTAATGCGGGGAGACATCCTTCATCCTTTTACATTTATTGCAGAAGGTTGATTTTTACCCATGAGATGATACAAAAGACATTCTTTAGTTAAACATCTTGAGTCTTTTAAAATGATGTTAAAACCCTGATATCTTAATGCGCTGCCATTTTTCAAACTGTCAGCCACAGTAAGGACAGTACATCACAGATAACAGCAAGTACTAAGTAGGCTTCATAACCAGAGAAAGTGTTGCCTTTTATTGGGGCTAGAGGTCAATATTTTTACAGTGAAACAAGCCAGAAAAATGAACAGTTCTGGATGCACGTAGATTCTGGCATGTCAGATTGATTCCATTTGTAGTGTAACAGAGTACCATTAATCTTCATGGTACAGATCAGGAGGAAAAACCTTACTCTGCTGTTTTCTTACGCACTTAACCCCAGATCATGTCCAGGGTGCAGAAAGTTACATATCTGCATCTTAATAGATAAAACAAGTTTGTGCAATGTCTGTGTATAATTTGAGATTTGAATTGGTGCTAACGGTAGGACAGCAGCATGACAAAGAATTAAAGACAAGTGTAATGCATTTGATGTTCCCAGCTTTGTTGAGATTGCTCATTGTCCAGGGCGGGTAAGTGAGCTAATACCAACATTCAAACAGTGAACTCTTACTAAACTCCTTTCTAGCCTCCCATTACCTCGCTTTTCTTCCCCAACACTCTCAATTTCCTTGTTACAGAGACCCTCACTCTGGCCAGAGAATGCTCCCGTTGGAATCCACGAACCCAGTTTGGAGCATCACCCACAAAGTTATTCCTTCCTCCCCATTTTACAGCTTGGGCAGGGCAGAGCGTGTAATGTTAAAGCGTACAGGAGTATAGTGTAGTAAAGTCAGGTGTTGCATTATGAACAATCTATGGTATTAAACTCTAATAATGAAGCTAACACAATATTTAAATAGATTAAATAACTCACTTTGAGAATTACATATCACCAACCAATGACTGAATTGTATCTGAGTCTAGTATGATGTGATGCTCCATCATTTTAAAATTTAAAAAACTACTTCGTTCTTTAAGGAATTTTGCTACTCTTTAACGATGGGCTTCTAAACGTAGTCTTATCTAGCCTCGGACTTTGAATTTAATTAATAGGGAGCATAGAGAGATGAGGATTTAAAAGTGGGCAAGGCGATATAAAATTAGGCTGTTCTGCAAGAAAACTAATGAAGGCAAAAGCTGCACTCCACTTAACTCATGCATAATAAATCAGAACTATGAACCATTTTTATTACCAGTGCAAGGTGCTTTTCAAGATACTATGTCAGCATAACAGTAGCTTAAGATGGACAAAATGCCCGTTTGCTATCCTTGCTATATATTTAAAATTTATTTCCAAAAACTACTGTTTAAATACAGTTCTGTGGTAGGGGAATATATTCACATTTAAAACATGAATCCTTTACTGCTGTTCCCTTTGTTATAAAAGCCTCCTGATGTACCTTGCAAATGCCCTGACATTTCATATTATGTAATAAATTCCCTATACTCCTACCCTATCCAAGTCCCGTCTGTGAGTGCTGCTGACAAAACCTGTATTTATGCAAATGAAAGGTTTTGTATGGCTTGCTGGAGTAATGTAGACTGGTGGGACTGCTGGGAAGCATCTTTACCCCTATTATTTATTTAATCTTCAGATTGCCAAAAGCCCCATCCTGAACAGAGCTGTTACATGGCCAAATTAAGCGTAAGACCTTTGGCACAGAAGGCTGACTGAAATAGTTTTCAACCTTCTTTCATCTGTGAACCCCTAAAAATTTTTGAATGGAGGTGCGGACCCCTTTGGAAATCTTAGTGTGCAAACCTCCAGGGGTCCACAGACCACAGGTTGAAAACCTCTTCTCTAGAGAATACAGTACCCTGTATCTCTGAGGAATTCAAGGTTATTTTTTTGTCATCTTAAAAATTCTGCTGGAAGCACTGAGTAGCGCTAAACAAACCTGTTTTATGGAGTAGTTGCTTTTCAGCTGCTGAGTGACTCGAAACGTTTACTATTTACAGAAAGTGCCTTGTCAGCCACTAGGCTGCAATAAACTTCAAATACATTTCATAAAAGGGTTTTTTTCCAGGCACTGAAAGAAAATAATAGAGAAGTTTCATAAGAATGGGCTGGGGCTCTGAGATGCTCTAAAACAGGGGTAGGCAACTTATGGCACATGTGCTGAAAGCGGCACGCGAGCTAATTTTCAGTGGCACTCACACCGCTCGGGTCCTGGCCACCGGTCTGGGGGACTCTGCATTTTAATTTAATTTTAAATGAAGCATCTTAAACATTTTAAAAACCTTATTTACTTTACATACAACAATAGTTTAGTTATATATTATAGACTTATAGAAAGAGCCCTTCTAAAAATGTTAAAATGTATTACTGGCACGTGAAACCTTAAATCAGAGTGAATAAATGAAGACTCGGCACACCACTTCTGAAAGGTTGCTGACCCCTACTCTAAAACATTAGACAAGAGAGGAAGAAAAATCTTGAGATAAAAGCACAGGACAGAAATCTAGGATCATGAGGTTTATCTCTGGCGTGTCAGACTCCCTGTATGAGCTTGGGCAAGTCACTACCATCTTTCTGCCTCAGCTTCCTCATGCAAAACGGTGATAGTGGGCCAAATCAATCTCTGGTGCAACACTATGGAATTAACTGAAGATAAATCAGGGATATTAGCTAGGATGGGCAGGGATGGATATATCGGACCCAGTTATATTTACTATCTTTAGAGGGAAGGTGGGAGGCTTAATGCCTTGGTCTTTGCTCCCTTGTTCAGTGCACAGCCAGGCGTGTAAGATGTTGCACTCCAGCACAGTGCAAGTAAGAGTTATGCAAGGATATAAGGTTAAGCACAAGGTGTAGCCCTCCACTCTGAACAATAGTAGTAAGGCTGGAGTTTCCTGTGCACTTACTTCATTATGTGCAAGTGTGCATTATTCAAAATGGGGTGTGAGTGGAGAATGTGTAAGTCTGAGATGATAGAGATGAAGCACTGTTCACATCATGCTAATAAAGCACTTAGCTATGCATTCCCTTCTTAAGTCCTGCTCTTTTTACTATGCAGAAGGGACTTACGGCTAGATTCACATAGGGATTTAGGAAGTGGGTCACTGAGTGACGTAACACCTAACTTTTAGGCACCTAGAAAATCACAGGACCAGCACTGCTTCACAAAGCCTGAGTAAGGTGCCTAGGCTCCTTATACAATGCATGGGGAGAGAGGCACCTTAGAATGCAATCCACAAAAGCCAGCACCCTGGGTAGGGAGCCACTTAAGCTAGTCAATGGGAGATGATGACTAGCAGGTTCTGTGCCAAGCCCCGCCCCTTTTGCTGAGATAGGCGCCTAGCTCTGCTTGGGATTCTCAGCTGTGAACCCTCTCCTGGAGTTAGGCACCTAAGGTGTTTCCTGCAAGAGGAGAAGGCGGGGGAGCTCCTTCATAACTTTTAGTGCAGTGGCTAGGATACTCACGTGGGATGTGTGAGACCCCCAGCTCAAGTCCCCCCTCTGCCTGATGAGGCAAAGGGATTTGAACAGGGATCTGCCACGTCTCAGGCAAGCACCCTAACAACCACTGAACTATGGGATATTCTGATATGGGGCTCCCTCAATCTCTCTTGTTAAAGCTGTATCAGTGTGTATCAATAGTCATTGCAGTAGGGGGACTGGATCCAGGGTCTCCCACCTCACAGCTGAGTGCCTTACCCACAGGCTATACAGTAATTCTCAGTCTTGCTACTGGCTTCCCTTCCCACTGTTCTATTTCTGGAGTTAGGCAGCCTCCGAACATGCCTACCAGATCAAGCCCTGCCTGTGATTTCAGGAACCAAGCACCTATCTTCCTTGGTTTGTGAACCACACTGGGACTTAGGTGGGAGATAGGTGTGTGGATGCCTAGAGTGAGGCAGCCGTGCGCATGCTCAGAGGCAGAAATGTTGGTGCCTAGGGAACTTTTACTACAAGAACAAAGTCACTAAGTGAGTTTAGGTGCCTACAGGGTGAGGTGGCAGCTGAGTGGGGATTTTGTGAATACCAGTAGCACCTAAATCTGGGTCTTAGGCACCTAACATAACAGATAGGTGTGACGTTGTGCAGTCCATATGGTTTTATAAAAACATGATAATAAGTGACTATAATGTAACTGGGATAGATTTAGAGAAAATATGGTAATAAGTGAATATAATGCAACTGGGATATGCTCCGTGCAAAAGGTCTCTTGTAAGGTAT